AAATTAATAACCAAGTCAAAAAACAAAATGGTCATTTCTTCTTTTTTTTTTCAAGACCTAATTATCAATTTCTATTAAGTCTTAAGAGATCAGTCAGTTTTACTGTTCTACAACAAAGGCTGGTTACTTATTTCCAAATAATTTACATGTCATGATCTTTTCACTGTCTATTGACGTAACAATCATGTTAGCTTCATTCATAACATTAATTCTTGTCAGTTTATCTACATATAGCAATACCAGGAAACTAACATAACAAATATTTTAGTAAGAACATACATACACACACATATATATATATATATATATATATATATATATATATATATATATAACTAGTCACTATTACATTAATGATATCTACAAGCATCAAGCAATATAGGTGAAGGTGATTTTTTTTTTTTTTTTTTTTTTAACTAATTTACCTTTCTCACAATATTGAAGTGACATTCTTGACACTTTTGAAGGACTGGCTACATTCAACATTTGACAGATGTATACCAAATAGAAATAACTTCTCCTCCTTTTCTGTTTGTAGTAATGTAATTCTCTTGACATCCATTCAAACATCAACTTCTGATTTCTGTTGGACGGTGTTGGAAATTTGGTCATTATTTTGTTGTAGCAGCTTTTCTTTTTTTTATTTTTCCTTTGACTCTTCCTGTTGGCTGAGGCATGTTTTATAATCACGTGCCTTCAGCATGGATTCTACCCAGTGGCTTTGCACCTGTATTTTCTTCCTGGTACTAACTTCATTTTCCTATGGATACTTTCGGTGTTTATGCAAAATCACACAAGATGTCCATTTTTCCTTATGTACAATACTACTTGTTGAACCTAATGAGAGGTTAATCTTATTAATAATGGATATTTGTAGAGTATAGGGTATTTGATGTGGTAATTATCAAAAGATTGATTTACTATCATCAAAAAGCATTTTTTGGTTTGTTTTCTAGTCATTTTAGGATTGAAAACATATCTGCATATACCATTGTTACAGATGATAGAAGGTTATACCTGTGCATTGACATAATTACGGGTTGTATGTGTAAAAGTTTTGCATTATGATTATTGACAAGCTAACTGTAGTTTCCAGTTTAGGAAGTTTGCATTTGTATTCCTCTAATTCTCATCCGCTGACCCACTAAATGGTTTGTCCTATTATTAAAGGTTACTTTTGAATATGATACATTACTTGAAATATTTCATTAATAAAATTATGTACTTTTTCTTCCAAGTGAATAACACATATTGACCTTATTCAATAATTACAATAAACTTTGTAACAAAGAATGATGTTATTTAACATCAACATTACACATAAATTCTGGCCAGATACAATGAAACATGTTTAAAATAACATCAAATTACCATTCTAATGGGTTTGAAACCTACATTATTCAAAGGAAATACAATCTTTAGAATTTTCCAAACAACTATGAGCCAATTCATGAGACACATAAATGCCTACCAACTTAGAATTCTGCTTGAGAGAGTAGCCTCCCTTTCTACAAGGTGAGAGCTTTTAAGAATGGAAGGATTGTATCAATACTATTCATTGGATGAGCTAGCAGGTAATCACATATTTTATTTTACTCCTATTCTGGTTATGTAAGGAGGGAAGTCATTTTAAGTTCAAGGTTTATTATTTTTCATTATAATTATCATAATTTATAATGTATTGAAAAATTATCATTTGTGTTTATTATTTTGACCAATAACATTCTTTTATTTTCAGGAAATATCAAAATAAAAAATTATTCTTGTTTAGAAAGCTGGTAGTAAGATAACAAATATCAAACCATTAAAATTAAATTTTAAGCAGCATTTAAAAGTTACAAAGATAAGTTATCTGGTATGAATCACTATTTGAATTTTATATTTTTTTCAGTCTCTTTCTATCAAGTATTTTGTTTACATTCATTTTGAAACAGATAAAAAGCAAGATATTATTTTTACTTTAAATTTAGTTTAATGTTGTGCAGTTAATTTATGTTCTGATTTTCAATAGAAGTAATATTTTTACTTTATTTAGAATATTCAGTCATCTTAATATAAAGAAGTTTCAACTTTTTGCATACGATGAAAACCAAAAAAAATTAAGCATGAATAAAGTTTCTGTTCATGTGTGTGCAAATATCACATAAAATCATGACATTTTTTTTTAATTATTTCACCCCAAGCAAGGCAGTTAAGCCACTAAGATGCAAAGGTTATACAATAAAAAGAATAGGAATTAAGATGAAAGATAATGATTGACATTGCATTTAATTTTTGAAATCAAAGTTAACAGGGAAGCAAGAAACTGGAAGAGAGTTCCAATAGTGAGAAATGCAATAGTAGAAACTATTAGTATAGAACTTACATCTAGCCAATTCAGCTATGACCTTGCCACCAATCCAGTACCGCACTTAAATTCATAGCCTCTTGGTACCATAAAGGTAAGTTCAAAACAATTACCATGAAAGTATTTATAGAAAAGATACGGGGAATCTACATTACAGCAATGGGAAAGTGACTGAAGCTGAGATGCCAGGTCAGGACTAGTAACATTGCAGATTCTTTTGATTTTTATCAAGAATCTCTAAATATATAGCAGGAACACCAGATCAGATGTAGCAGCAATATTCAAAGCAAAGATGAATGGTCGATTTATAAATATGTAAGATAGATTCTGGCAAGAAAAATTGTTTAGTATGATGCAGTGAACCAACTTTCCTAGCAGCAGACTTAGTATTTGATTCAATATAATCTTTCCACTTCATGTCAGCAGAAAATGTTAGCCCAAGAAAGTGCAATGAGTCATTTCCCTGGAGGTTAACATCAGCCATGCTGATAGAAAGCAAAAAGATTTCTCTCAAATGATTAAGAAAGCAGTTTTGTTTTGGAGGAGTTAAAATTAACAAGCCATTCCTTGCCCTAGTTAACTGTAAGTCATTTTTTAAATCAGTTGCCAATTTGACCTTATTGAACCTATCAAACTTACTATTAAAACAGGTGTAAATAGTTATCATTACCATAGGTACCAAGTTGAGAACTGATGACATCAGGAAGGTTGTTGATGAAAACTAGGAACCACTTAGGTTCAAGAATAGAGCCCCGAGGAATACCTGCATTAATGCAAAAAGAACTAGAAGATTAGCCATTCAAGATAACTTTCATTTCATTCAAAAATTCATCCAGAAATACCATAACTTTTTAACTTGTGAAGAAGACCATTATACCAAACCCTGTCAAATCCAATGCAACAGCTTCAGCTTCAACATCCTTATCTAAAGCTTGATAGACTCTTTCAGCAGTAATCGTTAATACATCAGCAGTTGGCCTAGAGAAGCAAAAACCATATTACTTACCTGAAAGATGACCCTGTGAGGCAAGATGCTTAACCAATTAATAATTAATTAGAACACTTAGTACTTTACCAAAAAGAGGTTGAAGGCTAATAAACTGATAGTTAGGATCAGATAGTTTGCCTGAGTTCTTAAAGACTAAAACTACAGGAAATGTTTTCCAACAATCAGGAAAGCAAGAAGCAGCAAAGTATTTATTGTAGTTTAGAGAGAACAGGAGCCAGTTCAGGAGCACATTTCTTAAGGACTATTTCAGGGATAACATCAAGTCCATATGCTTTGTGGAAATTCAGTTTAGAGATTATAGCAGAAACCATGGACAGAGTTATATGCATATCATTCAATAGAGGCTCTGTTCTAAGTGGAAAGTCAAGCAAAGATACTCCAGATGAGTCAAGAGTAAAATTTTCAATAATATATTCTGTTTTATGATGATGTGCCTACTAGCATGTGTTGTATATTTTGTCCAACTTATCAGTTCTTGCTTAATGGGAATATTTAATTTGTATAGTCAACTTTAAAAATAAAACTTTTAAGGATAACTCTATTGTTATTCATTTCTAATCTGGTCTTTTGTATTATTCATAAATAAGCAATTGTTTTGTTAATTGTCTTATAATTAAATTGCTCAGTTGAAGCCATTTTCTGCACTGAAAATGGTAATGATCTTAGCGTTTGGATAGTATATGTTGAAAATCTAACAAATATAATAAATTATAATGACATGTCTTATGAAATAAATAGCCACCAAAATGTTTAAACCAATCAAATTGCTTTAATTACAACATTCTTTCCTGGTTCCATGGCACTATGAAGTGTTTGAAAGATTTGTGAATGCCATAAGTGGTCTTGTCCTGCACATAATAGGTATCATTATTAGTATAGTTCTAAAATGGATGTAAATTATATCAGTTGAAATTATTCAGTTGTAGGTGGTTGTTTTTTCTGAAACTGCATTTAAATAAAATTTTTAGAATATTAATAAATTGTTATTATAAATTGTTTTATTTTTACTGAGCGAATTTTTAATATAAGTACTGAAAAATAATTTTTAGTGCAGAAAATATATGAATCATTAAGATTTTCTCAATAAGTTTCCCTGAACATGTCTAAAAAAATTATATTGATTCCAAAACTTTGTTAGGCTGGTATCGGCAAGGGTATCTAGTTGTAAGAAAAACATACTCTAATAAGTCTCTGACATGTAAGAAAGTAAAAGTTTTTACATGACTTTAAAATAATAAACATTAGTATTTTTTTTATTGGCTCATCATTAGTCCTTATGATAATATTGGAAACTATGTAGTCTGCCATCTTGTTCCACAGATTTATCCAAGATAATAAAGGAACAAATTTTTAATAAAATAGAATTTGTTTGATAGCAGTTTTCATACTTTTTGTCATAATACAATTATTCTTAGTCATTGATGTTTTAAAAGATTAATAGTGATCACTTTAATAATAAAATGAAGCATATAGGACTATCTACTTGAAAAGTTAAAAATTAATGATTTTCCATTGCTTTTTTTTTCTAGTGTTATCAATGTCTATGTAATTGCTTCCTTGTATTTTCCTTAGTTATACTTTATTTTAAACTGATATTAAATAATTATTCAAGGTGGTCTAAATTGATATTTGCTTTCTTTTCAGTCTTATGCGCACAGCGTGTAACCCAGATGACTAGAACATACAATGATATTGAGGCTGTGACTCGTCTGCTCGAAGAGGTAAGCTTTTTTTTTATATATATAAAGTGTGAAGCACAAGAGCCACTCGAGGTAGAGGATTATAAAGTAAGACACAGTTTATGAGGATATGTGGGGAAGATAACTGTTAACCATAGAATTGAACAGGTTAAGATTGTAATGATTAGGAAGCATCCTCTTGAATCCTTTCCACACAGCAGCAGTTTGTGGGAAGAAGCTACATCTCACAAAGGGAATGAGGGTGGTTCATACAGTTTGCTCAGTAAGTAAATTTTGTACATTTTTAAGATGTCGGAATCTTCTCTCCACCTTAGCTTTTACTAATACAAGAAGTATTATAGAAATTATTATACATGCTTTTGTTTTTTTTTTATATATTTTTTATTACACAGGTCATAGTATATTTATAGTTGTAAAATCACCTTGACATTTTCATTATACCTGAGGAAGTGCAAGTTGTAGCATAATTCATTTTTATTGAAGACAATTGTTTAAAAAATTTAGCTTTGCCATGAATTGATCTGCATTATTAAACTTCACAAGTATACTTTTTTTAAAGATTCTAATACATAAATACATTTTCTCTTTTTTCTTACTTTTTTAGTACATTGACTTGAAAATTGACATCTTTTTTTTTATTTTCATCCTGAAAAAAGAGTCTGAAGATAATGCTCTTGAAGTGTGTAGTGTGAGATATATATATATATATATATATATAGGATAACATGTTCAATATCAGTAATAGAGTATGTAAATATAAAAGTGGACATTGAAGTCAACACTCAGAGGTGGCAGTCTGTTTCATGCTTACATGCAATTGTCATAAAGTTCACTCAATATAAATCTCAATAGACTCTCAAGGTAGGGGACTACTTTTAAAATGATTATCATAAATGGAGTACATGATATAAATGAAAGACGTGGTGGTAGGAAGTAAAAATTATGAGGATAAAAGGGATAGATAATGAATGATCCTTTCCCTGAAGGGGTTAAGATTGTAGTGTTCAGGGAAGCATCTATGTGGAAGTCTGTTCCACAAAGTAGATGTTCTTGGGGGGAAAAAGCTGTCTGGGTGGTGAAACCTTCTCCTTACATTTGGAATATGAAGAGAAATGTGGATGATTCAAGTTTCTGGAAGTTGCATGGCATGTCCTAATGATAAAGATCTGAACTGGTGTAACTAAAGAATAGAAATAGTGATAGATTATTGATAGGCTTGTGACATTGTGTTTGCAGAAAAGAAGCTGCAAAAAGGAGAATGTCTCTTCTTCCCACAAGACTTCATAAATAATTTTGAAGTTTATCAGATCTGGAAAGTGAGGATTGAGCAACTCCAGCCCAGATATAGCATCATTATTCTATTTTATCCCAATCTGACTAAAAATAAAAGCATCAAAATGTCAGCACCTCTTCTGGTGCTGACATTTATTATTTGAATTTCGGCAATGTCTTGTTTACTGAGATCAGTCTATATACATTATGATAATGGATACTAGCTGAATTATGGAAATTTTAAAGGGATATACAAGTCAGCTAGATAAGGATTTTGTAATTCCAACTTTTTTGGGAATAGAGGCTGCCTATCTTTGGAATTAATGTTTAAAACTCAAATTTAATCAGATGTAAATTGCATTCTACTTTGCTCTGATTCTGCAGAAAAGATGGCAGTAAAGACTTAAAATATTGCAGATATTTTAACATTATATATCAGATTTGATGACACGCATTTTAATTCAAAACTTATATTTCTTATCTCATCTGTACCTGTTATATATTAACCATTGTCTTTTGTGTTTAGTAGTAATCCAAAATCATCAAGAGTTCAAGATGATTTGAATTACTACTACACACAAGACAATGGTTAAAAATATCAACATAAGAATAAATTATTTCCGTAAAATAAAGTGTGGAAATAACTACTCTTCCCCTGATGAATGTCACAAGACCCAAAATGCATGTACCAAAAAAATATAAAAAATAAAATATAATATATAAAAAAACTCCACATTATAAGCAAAAATGTTTGCAGCATCTTTTCTCTTTAATAATAATATCTATCTATCTATCTATCTATCTATATATATATATATATATATATATATATATTTCTTCTGGTTACAAATTTTCTTGAGTTTTAAATGTATTCATTGATAGCAAATTAAATTTGTCTCACCTTCATGCGTTTTATATTTTAATGGGGCTTGTCAAGGCAGAATGAAAATATTGACATCAGTGATCAGAGAAATTTCTGTTCATGCTTTTACTAAATACAGGGTTGTGAAATTAATAATCTTAATTTAAGATTATTTTGTGCATACTATATTTCACTGCCTTCACAATAAGTTTACTAATTAAGAACTAGACAAGATATCCCTAGACATGAACAGTGGAATGAGAACAATCTACCCCTGTAGAATTAAATAAAGGATTCAGTTTGAAATTTTTTGTAGATTATTCCGGATCGACATATCTCTGATGAAGGCTGGAGGGCACAACATCCAAAATATTGTGATAACAACAACAAAGATGAGGACAATAGTCTGCACATAAATAATGATAACCCCCCCATCTTGGAAATTCAGACCAAAATTAGATTATTTTCATCTCTAAATTTTTAAATGATTTCTAGATGGAAAATAGACTCATACTTGATACTGCATGACCCACTTACTAAATAATGAGAAAAATTAAAAAAAAAAAAAAAAAAAAAAAAAAGGTGGACTAAACTTGCAAGATGTCAGTGAAGTCTTTAGATAAAGCTAGCATCAATCACCTGAGGAAAAATAAAGTATCAAATTAAAAAATGACAAAGAAGAAACATTTCAGCAAAAAATATTATTACAAAGGAACTAACAATTTTTAATTCATTTCAAAAATAATTTTTTTAAATTCACAAAATATAAATGTGTATGTACATAATAATCTCCCACTAACAATTAGCACTTAAAATGGTTGAAAGTGATTCTAAAGAGAATTCAGATTGGTCAACAAATCTGTTTGGTCAAACAATAAAAGAAATGGGTTATTTTTAAAGTTTAGTAATTTTATCATATCAATAAATAGAGCAAAATATTTTAAATCAATTTTGGTTTTTGCTATTTCAATCTATTTTAAATATTGACATGATTGTCTTGTAATTGCCATCTATCAAATTTCTAAGAATATACATAATGTGTTTATGTACATGTTAAAACATATTACTAGAAATCACTTTGTTTGAAATAATGTCATATTGCTGATGCAATAAAACTATTGAATACTAAGATATGTAAATGTAGCTGTCAGAGAGAAAATAAATTGATACACCTAATAGAAATTGGAAACTTGCTTGTTTTTCAAAGTCAATCAGTGCAAGGGAAAATCTGTCTAAAGAAGAAAAAGCAAAATGTACAAAAAAAAACAAAAAAATAAATTCCCAGCTACAAAATGATTACATGGTTTAAAATCTGTTCTACTTTAATATGTTTTGTTGTTGTTACTGAAAGCAAAGACCAACCCAGTATCTCTGGGAAGCTATTCTAAAATGCTCCACTAAGAGAATTCAATTGTTATATTAACAATTCAACATTGGCTATAAATCAGCTTTGTTTTGTTTTTGCTAGTTTCTCCTCTAAAATTTGATGTGTTTTTCTGAAGATACACTCCACTGATTATAAAGAATAAATAACTCCAACTTTATTTCATGAGAAGTTTCACAGTTAGGAACGAAGAATAGAATAATAGTGTAAAACTGGGTCGACAAAGTGAATATTGTTGACTGGTATAAAAAAGGTTAATAGTATTTGGAGAACAGTAACAAGTTTATTGGGTCAATGTTCTAAACTGTGATGTACATGTCTTGGCTCACATATGAATCTGTCAGTTAGATTTTATAATAAAACAAGTATTTTTCAAAAGGTGTCACAACATACTCACAATGAAAGTCCAGCCTATTTTGTATAAAAACTTAGCTATTATTCCTGATAAGGAATAAACAATTTCTTGATGTATCAGTTAATGTCAGATGACTTGAAAGAAAATCTTTCTATAGACTTATAAAATGTTATTGAGCAAATTTCACTTTGTTATACAAAAGTACTTAACTTTTCCAAGAATATTGTGTATTTTCAATAGTGTTAATAACTATAAAATACTATTTACAATAGTTCAGCTTCCTTTCTGTACTAACTGTATAATTGTTCAAATTAAGGATATAGTTATATTTTAGGAGAACAATGAGTTAAAAAGGATTTATTCACTTAGACTATGTATTTTATCCTTCATGACTCACAATTTGAATATAACTTGAAAATTTCTATCAGTCTTTCTCTAAATCACTCATCAATTATATTGATCCTGGAGTAGTACTTACCTGTAAGGTAAATGGTCAAATAATTTTCAGTTCAACAAGATTGTTATCAAGACTCGAGTATTTTTTTCTATATAGAATAATCATTTTAAAATTGTTTCAGTTTCTCCTATCAGCAAATTATTCTCTGTTCTTCATTTAATTATAAAAAAAGTAACAATATCTGAGTTTTCAAGTTAATAGCCAATTTTGTTTTCTCAGCAATATTTTTTGTAACATTGGAATATGAGTTTCCTAACCACAAAGCTAAATTTATTAGGATTCTAATGAATAGAGCTAATATCAGAATTGGATTAAAAAAATGGGCAAGAACAATGTAATTTTATACAAGACACTGGAACAAGAAATGCAATCTTCATGGTCAGAATACTATCAGAGCCAAGCAATATAAATGCAGAAAGAATTACATCTATGTTTCATAGATTACACAAAAGTGTTCAATAAGGTAAGGCACAAAGACCTATTTGAAATACTGGGAAAGATATTAGAATAATCCATCACCTCTACTGTGAACAAATAGCCTGCATGCAGATTGAGAATAAATTCAGTGAATATGCAAAACAATTGTTTTCTCATCAAATTTATTTAATCTACAAATCTATACAGAAAGACAATCCTAAGAGAACTTGAAGACCTACCAGAATTTATTATCAGCAGGAATAGTGGATGACACTGTGTTAATAGAAGACTTACAAAAAAAAAATGAAATAAATCTTAGACAAGATAGTCCTCTCTTTTTGCTTTACTTTACTATAAACTTTAAGACAAAATGCATGTTTGTCAACAAAAGAAGACAGTCTAAGATGTGAGCTACATAACCTAGTAGTGTAGCAACAGACAATAGAAAATTTGGCACAGAAATATCAATGTACATAGGAAGAGTGAAAGATGCCTTCTAGAAACTAAGCAAAGTATTAAGAAATAGAATAATTTCATGAGAAATAAAGGAAAATAGTGCTAAACTGCCATGTAATATCTAATCTCCTACATGGAAGTAAATGTTGGACAATATCTTTAATGATGAAGAAAAAAACTTGAAGATGTGATTCTGCCAACAAATGCTAAGAATACCATGGACAAAGCATGTGAACAATGAACAAAACCTTAAGAGAAATAGGAAGTACAAATAAATTCATACTTATAATCAGAAAGAGAAAGTTTAAATTTCTAGAATATATAATGAGGAAAAAGGGGCTTGAGAATTCAACACTCACAGGTCATACTGAAGATAAAAGGTGATAACAACAATTAACCTACTTAATAAGTTTGTGTGAATGGATGGCAGAACAAGAATAAAGAGAAATAGTAAAACATTAGTTTGAGCAACAAAACACAGAAAGTTGTGACAAGCCATGATCACCCCCTAATCTTGAAGGAAGATGCCATATAAAAGAAATTGTCAGTAACTGAATATACAACTCTTTCCATAACTTCTTAGAAGATATTATGTGCAGCTTTTAAGTAATCAATCATGAAAAATATACATTATTGTTCTCTGATAATTGAAGTATTATTTATAGCATTGCATGAATGTTAAGAAATGGTTTTCATGTGCCTTTAAGACTCCAAATAGCAAACAACTTTGTGTGTTGGTTTTTCAAGCTCAGATTGTATGTTCATCCCATAGTAAGAATCACAAATGCTTATTTTTTTATCTATTTTATACAAAGCTTCCAAGGAAGTGGTTTTTAATAGATTATGTAGACATTAACTTAAATGCATAATTTTAATGCAAT